TCGCCCGTCTCCGTCCCTTGGCCGTAGATGGCCGCCAGCTTCTCGAAGCGCTGCCCCCAGTCGCTCCTGTAGTCGAAGGTGCCGGCGGACGACGTTCCTGCGGTAGAAGGTAATCCTAAAATCAGAGAGGAAAAGGAGGTGTTACTCGCTTCCGGGGTGGCGGCGTCGCACACTCACTACAGCACAGGACTAACGACCAACGTCTTTACTACGACGTCGCATGCAACATTCAACATCAGCAAAAAATATAAACAAAGAAATAGGTAACGAAAATGAAATTATATAAATGAATCTGCCAGACAATAACTCGTGATTAAATAAGATGCCAGCAAAATAAGAAAATGCAGTGAATAGAATAACGTAAAGAAACTGATAGATGATGTTGATAATAACAACAACAAAACAAAGATGATGATGATAACAATAATGATAATGATAATGATTATAACAGTAATAATGATAAAAGTAATAGTAATTATAAAATAAGGATACAAAAGAACAACAAAATACGAATGAAAATAAAAATAACAGCAATAATGATAACGATCATGAATGAGGATGAAAATAGTGAAACAGAAGCTATTATAACAAAGCCACAACAATAACAACAATAACAATAATAATAACTTTTAAAATGGTAACAACAACAACATCTATCACATATAACAAGCAATGCGTTCACTATTATTTTCTACTTTATGATTATCATCATTTATATCTATTTCATTTCAACTTTCACAAAAAAAAACACACATATATACAATTAACAAGTAACTTAATGTATTTATTTAGATTCCATTGAATTCTGTTTGTTTACTTTGTATCTTTTGTGCGAATCCTTGTTTGTTTGTTATAGATATCTGTTTGCTTTTTGTTTGTTGTTGTAATTGTCATCGTTTTCGGTTCTTCTTATTGTTGTTGTTGTCGTTGCTGTTGTTTTTGTTGTTGTTCTTGTTGTTCGTGACTTACCTTGCGTTGACGTAATTCCTTTTTGAAGTACATGAACTTAAAGACACATGCAATAAACAGCGATAGTGATAATAATAATAATGATGATAATAATAAGAATAAGAATAAAACTGCAATAACAATAAAAGTAATAGTAATAATAAAGATAATAATAATAATAACAAAATAACAATAATGATAATAATGGTAATAATAATAATAATAAAATAACAATAATGGTAATAATAATAATAACAATAATGATAATAATAATAATAATAATAATAATAATAATAATAATAACAATAATAGCAACAACAACAATAATCATGATAATAATAGTAATAATAACAATAATAACAATAATAATAATAATAATAATAATAATAATAATAATAATAATAATGATAATAATAATAATAATGATAACAATGATAATAATAATAATTACTAATATTATTATCATAATCATAATTATAATTATGATTACATAGTTATAATTATAATCATGATTATAATTGTAATTATAATTATAATTATAACAATAATAATAATAATTATTATTATCATTATTATTATTATTATTATTATTATTATTATTATTATTATTATTATTATTATTATTATTATTATTATTACTATCAATATCAGTATTATCATTATAACAATAGTTGTTATTATTATCGTTATTCTCATCATTTATATTATTAATATTATTATCTTTATCATTATCATTATTAATATTATTGTTATTATCATTATTATTGTAATAATAATTATTATTATTATCACAATAAAAATGATAGTGATAATAATGATAACACCGAAAATGATTAATAAAAATGATAATAATATCAAGAACAACAATGACAACAACAAAAATACTTGCAACAAAAACAACAATAATCATGTGAACAGCAACAAAATTAATAATCTAAAAATGGAAGAAAGAAAGAATGCGAAGAATTGCAATAAACTTCATTAACTTATTCTTGTCATAGAAAAAAAAATCAGCAACTACAAGTCAACAATTTAGAAAACAGAAAATAAAACAAAAGAAAAAAGGAGAATCAGAGTAAACGAAGATCATAATAAGGAAGGAGAAGAGGAAGATATAAAAAAGAAAGATGGAATAACAATAAACTCAGGAAAAATAGAGGAAAATATAATAAACGGAATAAATGAAAAGAAAAATGCATAAAAAAGAAAGAAAGGCAACAAAGGAGACACGAACAATCAAGGCGAATGACAAATAACGAAAATAGTGAGACATTGCAAAATGAAACGAAATAATAAAAAAAAAATATGATATTAAATAAGAAAAAAAGACGCGCAAAAGGAAACAAAAGAAAGAAAAAATACAAACGAGACACAAATAAACAAAGCAAATAACAAATAACGAAAGAGTGAACCATCACAAAAGGAAATAAAATAAAGCAATGGTAATAAATGAGAAACGAACGAAATATAAAAAGAAATGCAATATCCCTCTCAGTGTTCTTTCCTACGACTCAGAAAAGAGTAAAAGAAGACGAAATGCAATAAACTCCGTAACTTCGCTCACCTAAAGCCGTGGAAGGAACAAAATGATTTTAAAAAGAAAATCGAGAAACAGCAGATAAAAGAGAAAAAAGAAGAAGAAATAATGCAACAACAGAGAAAAGAAAAGAAAAAATGATGCAACAACAGAGAAAAGAAAAAAAATGATGCAACAACAGAGAAAAGAAAGAGAGAAAATGATAATGAAGAAGAGAAAGAGATTGAAGGAGAAGAAAAAGGAAGAAAAAAGAAACGGAATGAAGGAAAAGGAGTAAGAGGAGAAGAAGAAAAAAAAAGAAGAGAAGAGAGAAAGGAAAATTCACAAGTAAACGAAACACACTTAAAGGAAGCAACAGACACAAATAAACACAAATAAAATCACATTACTAGAACAAGAAGAAAAATTAATCAGCAAAAAGAAAACAAACGAAAAAAGAAAACCTATAAAGAGAAAAGAAAAAGAAAAGAAAGAAACAACAACAAAGACAAAAGATTTAAGAAACGAAGAAAACAACAAAGACAAAGGAAAGAAAACAAAACAAAACAAAAAAAACAACAAACAAAAACGAAAATGAAAATGAAAACAAAACAAATAAACAACAAATAAAAACGAAAAAGAAAAGAAGGAAACAGAAAAAGAAAACAAACAAACAAACAAAAAAACGAAAAGAAAAGAAAACAAAAAAACAACAAACAAAAACGAAAAGAAAACAAAACAAAAAAACAAAAAGGAAAAGGAAAAGACCAAAACAAACAAACAAAAATAACAACAACAAAACACCTGGAAAAACACGACAGCCTCCGCCCGCGACTTACCGGAGGCCAGGGAAGAGAGCGACGCCGCTGACATCTCATCTCCCTGGGCGTTGTAGTGCCTGACGTCATCGACATCCTGGTGCTCCTCGTCCACCTGTGATAAGACGTCACGGGGGGGTAAAGGGGGAGGTTGGAGGGGGGGGGGGGAAGGGGGAGGTTGAAGGGGGGGGAGGTAAAGGGGGAGGTTGGAGGGGGGAGGAAAGGGGGAGGTTGGAGGGGGGGTAAAGCGGGAGGTTAGAGGAGGGGGGAAGGGGGAGGTTGGAGGGGGGGGGGTAAAGACAGAGGTTGGAGAAGGGGGGTAAAGCGGGAGGTTGGAGGGGGGGGGGGCGTAGAGTGGGGGTGGGAGGTTGAGGTGATGAGGGTAGGGGTGTGGGGGGGGGTGAAGGGGGAGGTGGGAGAATGGGAGAGGAAAATAAGTGGAGGGGTTGGAATAAGGAGGAAAATAAGGAGAAGGAGGGGGAGAGAGAAGGGGAAAAGAAAGTAAGTTAAGGAAATCGAATGTGGGGAGTAAGGGAAGACGATAGGAAGAGGGGAACGGAGGAGAAGGGGAAAGGGGGAAGGTAGGTAAGGGCAAGATGTAGAAAAGGGGAAAGAGGTAGGGAGAGAGAGAAAAAATATATATATATTTTGATACAAGAATTTGGTCTTTTGTTTCAGTGTTTTTATGTTCTTTTTTATTTTTTATTATTATTTTTTTTAGCGTGTGTGTGAAAGGAAATATAATAGACTTTAGACAGGTATGACAGGGTATGCAAATAAAATAAGCAAATAACAAAATATGAACTTTGTTCCCTTGCTTTTTTCTATCTTTTAATAAAATACAGTTTGCAGTTTGTTCCAAAGTAAGTTAGAGAAAGTTTCAATAGCTCTTTGAACTTTCAAGACTAACAGGAATATTTATAGTTATTTAATAAACACACACGCGTATAATTTCATACACGAATTTCCAAAACCAGACATGCAAACACACACACATAATATATATACAAATACACATACTCTCGCAGATACACACACACACATACACAAATACATACACCTCATACTCACTTAGAAACCTTACCCCCCCACCACCTCACACAGCACGACTCCTAACTTCAACGCTCTAAATGAAGTTTGTCTGTAAACTCTTTGATCAAAAGAGCAGAAGTATTTCACAGTAAATTAAATCTACAGAACACACGCGCACAGAACTCCCCTTGCGAACACCCTTTCCATTAACCCCCCCCCCCCATTCCCTAACCTCTAGCCGTCCCCCTACCCCACCCAACACAAATAAACACTCGATTTTCACGCTTCAAATAAACCCAGCTCCTTCTGAGACCCATACAATAAGAGACACAACGCCGGCCTTCCCGCGACATCCCAACACCACTTCAATGGGATCAGAAAGCATCATTCCTCCATGAAAACGATTAGATCCTCCTCTGCCGTGACGTTTTTACAGCACCTCAGGAGATACTAGTTCCGTTTATTGTTCCGGCTTTTAAATGGTTCTTATTGGACGAGATACTTCAAGGGGGAGGAGGGTGGATAAGGAGATGGGTAGGGGTAGAGGAGGGGGTCTTTCTAAGGGGTCCTTCTGAGGGGAAGGGAAAAAGGGGAGAGGTAGAATGTTTTTAATAAGGTAAGATGTGTGGACATTATCATAATGTGGAGGGAGGTGGACGATGGAGGGAGGCAACTGCTTCCCATTG